ACCCCAGATGGAACCTTAGATATTCAACAATTTGTCACTAAGAATTTCACCACAAACAGTGGCCTTTCCATTGTTGTTTTGGATGGTATTCTTCCTCTCAAAGAGCTCGATGCCTTGAGGAAAACGGTTGAAACTAACGGTTACAGCGATAATGCAGCTGGCATGGACAGCACAGATCAGGTACAGTGGATCATGGCATTTGAAATTGATGACTTTGTTCAGACCTCACTATGGAATGTGGTCAGTCAGATTGTGACCTTTGTCTCTGGGAAGGAAGGTTATTTTCCTTATGACATTGGATGTAATAATATTCAAGCGACAGACACAACTACAATTCATATAGATAGTGAACTTAATGAAAGTGAATTCACACTCCTGATTTATCTCAATGAAGACTGGACTGCAAATCATCATGGCGAAACTGTCTTCTTTGATGATATGGAGGGGAACGAGGTAATATTTGCAGTAAGGCCAAGATATGGACGTGTTGCTATTTTCCATGGATCAATTCCACATAGTGCGCGACCACCCCCACTTCTTATGGAAGGTATGGTAACAAATTGAACATAATTACACAGGTTATGAACTCAACTATTGCTCTTTGGGAGTGTATTGAAATAAGTTTACTGAATGCACTCTGTAGGAAATGCAGTGGCTTAGTAGCTAGTGCACTGGACTCCAGTTGAGAGTTCAAGACTTGGCAAGGTCAATATGTTGTACTATTGGGCAAAATGCTTAATTTTCAAAGAACTTCTCTATACACATGAGTTAAATGAATTGTCAGGGAGGCCCAACAAGTTATTAGGTGGTTGCTCCATTGTTAAGGAGTTCTCTAGGTGCAGTTTTTGTGCTCTTAGGCAAAACGCTTTACTTTCAAAGAGCCTCCTCACACCCAGGAGTATGGATTGTTAGGGAAGTCTAACAAGTTAGTAGCTGGTTGCTTCATGCTTAGGAAACCAAAATGAACTCTGTGTCTCTTGGCTCAAGAACCTTACCTGAACACACTTAGGCAGCATAGTTATTACTCAACTTTTTTCATATCAAGAGTTGCTAAGTGCCAAAATTTAGAAGATGTCATTGATTATGGACATCACTGTCTTAGTATTACTATTACCACCAGCGTCACTTACTTGGTGTGTTAGCCACAAGGTCACAAGTTTTTCCTTTACTAGAGAAGGCACAATAAATTGAAAAAGGAAGTACTATCTTGATTTATTGTACTTTCTTTGAACTACTAAGGGCAACTGGTGAACTTCATGTATGTAAAGAATTTTTGACCTGGAAAGGGACAGAATTAATGTTTCCTTTTCTCATGCAAGGGAAGGGGTTGGGGAAGGTGCAGAAGTTTATGTTCAGAAATGTTTCTTTTTTGTAATCACCTTAACCTGTTCCATGTTCTCAGTGAGTGGAAACAGTTGAAGGAGTGGGTTAGATATTTGCAGATGGCTGCTCTTATGAACCTGGTGGTCAGCCTTTACTTTTCAGTGAAACCTGTTAAATTCCTTTTTTTTTAAAGTTGATGTAGTCATGGCTGACATTTCTTGAATTTATTTTTTATTTTTTATAATTTGGTAGGTGCAAGGTTCAGTTTTGCAGTCAAATTAGCAGCATCTGAAGAGACTGCAAGAAAAAAGGCTGATTTGTTGGATATAGATGTGCTCTATGAAGCTTTAGAAGTTTTGCAAGGAGAAGAAGCAGACAAATTGGAAGCAATAATCCATGATATTGAGGATGGGAAAATGGATAGACAAACAAAAGAAACTATAATTAGAAAATATGAAACACATTAAGAATTGCATAAAAAGCAGCTGATTAAATAGTGTCCGAGAGTTAATGGCTTAAAATTGTTCAGAAAAATATAGGTGTAACATATTTTTATGTAAATGATATTTCCTAATGTCCGGCAATTAAGTGTGTTACTTGAAACTGCAGCTGTCGACGAGGCTTGAATTTACATTTGAAACACTGAGTAATTTTAAATGTCACTCTCGCCAAAACAGAAAACAAGGTTGTTTAGTGTTAACAACTGAGTTGAAAACGTAAATTGGCCACTGTTAAGAGTTAAAAGGCTGACGTTTCGAGCGTTAGCCTTTCGTCAGAGGGATTGGTTGAGTTGTGGGTTGTGTGTGGGTTTCTATGCAGAAAATGGAGCTACGCTATTGGTGGGAATATGGTGACGAGAAAACAAGAATAAATTAGTTGAATGAAAAGCGCTTGTTCATACCGTGGGGATTAAGAGTGCCGATTTGGAAGATAAATTTTACATTTTTTTTTACATTTTTTCGATCTACGCACTGTTAAGGAACCTAGCTCTGAAACACTTCTCCGTGTAGCCGAACTAGTAACTACACTCAATTGCTTTTCATTCGGTGCTAACTGCTACAAACAAACTAATGGCGTCGCCATAGATACTAAAATGGGACCCAGCTACGCCAATTTTTTCGTAGGTTTTATCGAACATCAATTTTTTAGTCAATAACACGGCCCCAAACCTGAACTCTATGGCCGTTACATCGACGACTGCATCGGCGCTACCTCCTCTAACGGAGAGGAGCTCACTCAATCTATAACCGCCGTCAATTCCTTGCACCCGGCTCTTAAATACACCTGGGAATTTCCAACACTTCTTTGGCTCTTCTGGAATTCAAAATTTCAATTGAAGGCAACGGTTTATGCACTAGTGTTTACTACAAACCTACAGATTCACAAAGTTACTTATTGTATTCATCTTCGCATCCATCACAGGTCAAGAATTCCATACTTTTTCACAATTTCTCAGACTTCGTCGTTTATGTAGTGACGACTCTGATTTTTCCAAAAAATCAGAGTCAATGTTTCAGTTTTTCGATAAACGTGGCTATCCTGCCTCTGTCGTTCAAGCGGGCCACCACCGTGCCCAACAAATTGATCGACAGTCAGCACCACAAACGGCTGAGAAGGAAAACACTGACCGCATTCCATTCACTCTCACATTTCACCCTTACAACCACCCAGTTAAATCTATTATTCTTAAAAACTTTAAATTACTCCAAAACGATTCAGAGACTAGCACCATCTTTTCGCAACCCACACTAGTTTCATTCAAACGTGACAAAAACATAGGCAACTTTTTGGTCAATAGTTCATTTCAAACCAATGACGAATCTGATACTTTCAAATGCGCTCGCTCACGATGCAAAACTTGTCCTTTCATTCATAACGTAGAGAAAATATCGGGACCCAAGGGATCTATTAAGATCACTGATCACTTTACGTGTACCTCTGCTAATGTCATTTATTGCATAACTTACACTTACTGCAATAAGTTATACATTAGTGAAACAGGAAGACGACTAGGTGACCAATTCCGAGAACACCTTCGCGACGTAGAAAGAGATGACAAGGACGCATCCAAACCAGTCGCTAGACTCTCCCTAATCATTCTAATCAACAAATGGCAGTTTGTGGTCTTTCTCTACATCTAGGCAGTTCGGAAAGCCGCAAAACGCTAGAACAAAAATTTATCTTCTAAATCGGCACTCTTAATCCCCACGGTATCAACGAGCGCGTTTCATTCCGCTAATTTATTCTGTTTTCTCGTCATCATATTCCCACCAATAGCGAAGCCCAATTTTCTGCATACAAACCCACACACAACCCACAACTCCACTAATCGCTCTGACGAAGGGCTAAAGCTCGAAACGTCAGCCTTTTAACTCTTTACGGTGGCCAATTTACGTTTTCAACTCAGTTGTTAACACTAAATTACCTGTTATACTCTCCCACCGATGCAGCACCATAGTTTCTTTAGAAACTTACCCCCTTTAGAAAACAGGGTCGTTTCCATTCCAAGTTATCTCATTTATCTGGAAGGCACTTCACTTAATTGTTTGTTGGTTTTCGCCTTAAAGCTCTTTATTTTAAAGAAGCCTGCCTGTGAATTGAAACAGTATTATTTAAGATCTGCGATGGACTCGTAGAAAAGTTTGCATTTCTTCTATGGACTTAAAAGACCATCTTCATTTCATTTTCTTTTTCCCCTGGTTCAGAGACGATTCGGCAAAAAAGGTTGAATAGCCACATGCAGTAAAAAAAGGTTTCTTGCAGCAAATAAAGGGCAATCAACTCTTTATGTCGTTGCTAGGAATAGGAAAAATTCAGTAGGCTGTACCTTGGTTTTCATTGAGTTTGACTCGCAACGCATGCTTGCGTGACAGATCTAGGCCCCGCCTAGGAAAAGCTTAGCGGTCCGCCTCTTTGTGAATAGGTTATTTGATAGATCACCACTTAAGAAAAAAATGAAATATTTGTTTCACTTCCTGTTTTCACGGGCCTTAAAAAAAGGCCATTGGGAGAGGAATAGTCACTCAAGTTATGTTTATTTTCATTATCATGCGAAAGAACATTGACTTCTTAAAACTACGAGCGAAAACAACGCCGACATCGCACTAAGCGTTTAATGGGTTTTTAAGTGCACATGGGGTAAAGAAAATAAGTAACTGATTCATGGAAAATTTAGTTAAACTTCACGTGGAAAACGGATATTGCACGAATCACTTCCTGAGATAGCGGTTTTTCGCGTGAAATCAACGTTGGGTGGAAACTTTTCCTATAGAAATTGATAAAATGATCATGATGGAATCGTCCAATGTATTTGCGGATCGTTCAGTATACCTACATGTGTTTTCACCAAATTAATTAATGGAAGTAGATTGCATTCAGATGTAAAAATTAAAAGCATGAGCCCGATGTTGAGAAATGCTTCTGCGATGGGAAGCATTTCGGCTGGAATTCGTTGGCGAACTACAAGTGGAGTAATACATCAATGCACGATTTAACATCTCGATTTCTTATCAACGTTTGCGGAAACGTGACCTTTTTGTAATGGAAAAAAATTGGCATGCAATCAGTGTTATTACAACTGGCAATCAAAAACAAATAAAACCCTTAATGGCCATTTAAGAGCATTTAAAAACATTTGTTGTCCATAAACTGGACGCAGCAGTGCATGGAGAATGAAAATGGACAATTCGACACAGGGGACAACAGATTACAAAATTGCTACGCTTGTACTTTACGCTACGATTCCGCCCATACCATGGAACACTTCAGACTATGTTAATGACTATGCTGCTCCTATGCCGCCTCAAGATCCGATCAGCTCCCAATTCGTCAAAGTTCTGAGAGGGATTTTCTTCGTATTGTGTTTGATAGAGAACAGCCTTGCCCTCTATATTCTGTGCAAGAACGTTCGAATTGGTCGCAACAAAACATTTTTTCTCTATATGTTGATCAGCATAGCTTGCGCTGATATTTTAAAAGCTGCATTTATTTACCTAATGACCTATGCCGCATTTTCTCCCCAAGCTGAAGACGTTTGGTCTGTTGGCAATGCTCTGTGTAAGATGTACCTTACCTTCTCTGAAATTACTTCCAGGGTTATTGCGCTTATCTTAGTCGCTCTAGCCTGGGACGCCACACGAAATTCCTCCTCCACAGGTCGAAAGGAACATACTAAAAAATTCAGTGCAATTATGATGTTTTTCCTGTGGGTGATGGCAACAAGTTTCTCTTCCATCTACTTTGTGTTCAGCGGGGTTTTTCACAATGCATGTGGAGTAAGTCCGGAGGGAATAATAATAATAATGATCATCCAACTTGATTTCGCTTTTGACGTCACTGTTGACTTAATTCTAACGATTCTATGCGTCGTCGTGTTCTTCCGAGTTAGACGAAGGAAGAAGGAAATGAATGCACAAGCACGATCCACAAAATTTGCTTACAAATCAAATAAAAAACCACAGAGGAGGGATGATGACGGCATCGAACTGGATCATTCGGGAGAGTGGTGCGACGAGAAGCCTGATGAAGGAGAAGTGACACTGATCTGCGAAGGCCAAAAACAGAGTCCTTCAAAACACCCCCCGGAAACCGGCAGAATTGTTGATGTTGGAGATGGACAGAGTAACACCAGTCAATCTGCCTGCGAACAGGAATTCAAAGAAACGCGAACCGAGGCAAAAATCGTGGTTGCAGTGTCACTTCCTTTCATCGCTCTTTCCCTTCTGCCTTATTTGATGAATTACTTGTCATATTCCCAAAACGTGTACATTTCGTTTTGCGCACAGATGGCTGATGCGATGTACGGGATCATTAAGCCGGCTATTTACGCCTGCATCGACAGGGAATTCAGGAAAAGGTACACACAACTGTCTCCATTGGCTTGCTGTTGTTTAAGGAAGATCTGTCGCGGTTCATCACAGCAAGGTGTGGCAGCTGAAAACAGCCGCGCTACGCAAGAAGGGAGTGTGTAACTATCAAACAGATGACGGAGGCAAAACTATTTAAAGAAGACTCCCCAGTGTTGTTCATAAGAATCAACAAAGAAAAATTAACCACACTTAGTATTTCTGTGTATATGCAAGAATCTTAATGAAAATGTGATTGAAACAATTTCAGCAAAATGGTTCGACTTGTGAGACTTATGCATTTGATAATCTGATTTATTTTACTATGTCAATTGTTTTAAACACTTTGGATAATAAGTTTTTTCTGTAGGTTGAAATAACCGTGCAAGTTAGGTCTAGGTGCAGGCGATCACTGGTAAATATTTATTTTTCTAATACCCTGATTATCAATATGATTAAAAAAAATTGAATTCTTTGACTAGGAGCAAGCAGGATATATACAACAGCAATAGCGACTTAAACATTAACTTTGTTTATAGCATTACCTCTAACATTAAGGGTTTAGTCTTTTGCAATTGTGGAAAAGTAATGAAACAAAAGCGAAAAAAAGTGAAAGTAATGAATTCCTAAATTTCAAAATGTTATTTCCTAATTGTAATCCAGTTCTTAATTGATCGACGTATTTCCGGCTTATTTGCAAAGCTTCATAAATTATATAGAATGACCTAATTTCCCGCACGCGAAGTTATCATCGTTGTTCTATAGAAAAACAATTTTGTCATGATCACTTACACGGGTCAAAATGTCCAATTGTGATAGACGCTCACGCAAATAAAGCTTTATGTTGTTAATCAGTGAAGAGCAAAGAGCTTGCGAGGTTGATTTTTTTGTCCTTAATTGCTATATCTTGTCAAACCTTTCACTCCCAAGACTGATCTCGTTTGTAATTCTCTTTACTGTCTGCCATACGATTCTTGTAATGTTAGTTCTGAGATTTTGGTATTGGGTCAACAAATAATCCTTTCATTAATAGTTTCCTTCATTCTCATCACTTGTCTGCCTAATACTGTGTTCAAGATGTAAGGAGAAATTCTGTTTTGGCCTCTCACGGGAGTTAAAGGGTTAAGTCCTTAATTTCCTTAGCCTTTTTCTCTTTATTTTAAAATGAAGACTTTGCCAAGAATTTTACTGTTTATTTCCTTTCGAATTCTGTAAATTTCTCCTTGCATCACCTCAATTTAAAAAAAACCAGAACATCTGTGTAGGTATTTAAACCCTTTAGTTTTATTTGTTTGGTTTGTGTAGGAGAAAAGCTCACCATTCAGAACGTTTGCTAAAAAAAGTTAGTCAGTAAGGCTTAAGGTCTAAAACGAGAGGGAAAATTAATCCCTGCATTATGCAAGAAAGTGCCATTTGGACCGTGAAAAGATGTCCTTCTCTTTAGCGAGATCGATATATCAGTCTGATTAAACTTTCGAAGTAAAAGCTAACTCACAACCTAATCGATTATAAGAGATTATGTAACCTCCCCCCCATCCCTCCCTCGCTTCCCTCTTTTTACAATATTTTTGGAAACGTTATGTCATCGTTGAATACCCTGTCACGTGGTTTACTAACTCTGAGATAAAGAAAAACAGAGACTTTGGCCCGGTTTCCCCAGGAATAAATATTGATCCTATATAGGTTACTTGGTGTCCAACAGCGAGACTATCCCCGAATCAAATAAAATCTCCGTATGAGTCTTCTTTCACAATGCGTCATCAATACGCATACGTTTTAAACAAGTCCTCTATGAAAGAGAATTCCACGACAAATTTATAATGTTTGGCGTTTTTATTGAGTTTTAGATTTTAAAAAGCAATCATTTTCAAGTTTTCAGCAGCAGTAGTCCAGTAACAGGTTGAACAGTCGAACAAACACACATAACAATGCTATCCAGCGGTCATAGCGGTCAATTAAGAGCAACTTTCTAGTTTTGGTCTATGTAAGTTCTGATTGCTCTTGAACAGCAACCTTGTTACCAGGGTCTCTGTTCTTCCTTCGTGAGGGGAAGAAAGACCCTTGGAACGAGGTTGGAGCAGACAGTAGAGCCTGCTTTGGTGCAATCTTGACTTGGAGAAAGTTCTAAATATGAAAAAGGATCGTCATATGATATGGCCATAAACAGGCTACTTTATAACCTCGTACATTTTCTCTTCCGTTCCGCCATGTTGATCGGGGAAATAGAATGGTACCATGCGTCTTGATACCATGTGACCCGGCCCATTTGATCGCGCATATCCCGCGGAGAATGTCGCGCCATTGGTCTCTAGTCAGACATCAAGGACGATTAAACCATATTTCTCTTTTAACATGTTAAATGCAATTTTCTTTATACCCGGAAACGAAAATTTCGATCAGTTTATAGGTTTTTTTCGTAATTGGTTTTGTCTTATTTTTAATTTGTTACTTTTGTTTGTACAAAAAAGAATGGATATCACAGATTCCGGAGGTTCCATGGTCAGCTGATCTGTAGTATATAAACCGAGTAACCAAGCTTGGAACATGATATATTTGATGATAACTTGTCGGCTGCCACTTCACGAGACGCCGGGTTTATTTTTTTTACTGGAACGTGCAAATTTGCATCAACTTGAAGGAGGAATCGGCAGAGATTATTCTGTAAGTATACTTCAGCCTTTATCTCTCTCATTAAGTCTTTTTGTTGGTATCTTTGTGGCTTTGTAGTCAACTATCAGATGCGATTACCAGACGATTTTGATGGAAAAAATTCCACTTCGGCATAAAAGAAGCACTGTAGTCTGAGTGTTTCTTTGAGTAAAAAAAAAAAAACGTGCTTCTAAGATGAATATAAACCTTGAGGCAGAAAAAACTGGAGATATGATGCCTAAACGCTTTGTTTGCCGATCGAAGATTCCTTTCCGCCCTCATGCAGAGTTAGTCTTTCGCAATACGCCGTTTTCGTGATGTAACGCTACTCTTCTTACCGTGACAACATAAAGACGTAGAGAAGATTATTTTACAGTAGAACTACGCGCCCATTTAAATGTTTTCGAGTACGTGAAATATCCTTACCCCCGAGCGATCCTGCATCAGCTAACTTTTCACTTAATTCTTTGAAATATTTAAGCCACTGTTTACATGAGAATGCCGGGAGAACCCGTGTCGGATCTAGCCCGAGACAACTCGGGTGGGCGAGTTATCTGGCCTCGACAAGATAAGCTTGTCAGACGGGAAAATTTTTCCTCATATCAACACTTCAGCTCGCTAAGCAAGCCGGAATAAAATCTCTTATCGTTTCCATCGGTTCATATTGAGCGTTCGATCCTATTCACGTGTTTATTTGCGCTATACAAGCCCCAAGTTGTTTTTAATTATTGTTATCGTTCACCACTATGATAGATGTGAAGCCTGTCAGGCTGTTGTGGGAAATGCTGATGGGTGCTGAGTGCATCTGTTAAAACTAACAACTTCTTGGGAGCGCTCTGTAAAATTTTCTCGATGGCTAGATGGGGGGAAGGGTTGTCTCAGCTACCCGAGACCACTTAACTAAGGCCTCGCGCCTTAGGTTTGGTAGAACAAGTGTGACACGGTTTATAAATACTGGAGTCTTTGCCTTTGCTTAGATCAACGTTCTGCATCCTACCTTCATTGTTCATTCTTAAGGTTAATTGCGTGTCAAAGGCTAACCGGGACCAACAATCAAAATGTTCTGAATTTTTCCAAGAGAGCTTTAGTGTTAGGATCATTTGGAGATGTTAATCGGAGGCGAGGCGACCTTAATTACGTTTTTTTTTCACCGTCAAATCCAACCGGTAAGGATCTTAGTGATTTGACCTCAACAGTTCTTGAGACTTCGAAAAAGGGCTTTATAATCTAGTTAAAACTTTGTACCTTCGTAGTCTACAATTTTAAAGCTTTTATGATTCACATGCTAAAGTATTTGTTGAAAACAGGTTGGTAAATTGCCAGATCAAAGCGGACATTGAGTTTAACTTAAGTCTTGCGGTATTTTGATTAGTAAAATTCCGCTCATGTGGCATTGCGGAGGTCTCAAATCTCGTGTTGTGCGTTGTTTGAGTTTTTGAAACCTACGATGCAAGGTGAAACGAACACTTTTACAAACGCGTTGAGCAGGTCTTAAAGAAATGCAACGTGAATAAGGGGATGTAAATAATCGTTTAATTTTTCTCTTTTGTAACGTGGGAAATGGAGGTGAAAACGTTCAAAGTCCAAATCAATTTCGCAGTTCGCAGAACACACGTTTTCTAGCGAGCTACGACAGACGCGAGGCACGCGCAAAACACGAAACCTGCGCGAGGTTAGGAGCGTGTGATAGATATGACTTTTCTCTTTGCTTTCGTTTCCCGCTTGTCTAAGCTGGCCTGAGGAGACAATATCATTGTTGGAAAGACTCCCAACATGCCACCATTTGAACGAGCTAAATTTAGTTGCGGTGTTGTCGTGAAAGAAAAGACCCTTGCAGAAAACTACTAATGGTATTTTTGTTAGAACACCACTGTTTCAAATTACTACTTTGCCTAGTTTTAAGGACTTCATTTTTATCATTGTGTTTATTTTTAACTCATTTCAATTTAACGAACAGAACAACGCAGGTCAAAAACTCTCCCTATATACTCAACCTATCAGAACAGTCCATCAAACAGCATTGATAATCATGATATTAGCGATACGGTGCTTCTGTAGTCACCGTATTACTGTCTCCATATAAGTGCCTTTCTTTTGTCTTTATTGAGTTTAGGTCTAGCAATTCTGAGGAATCAAATAAAGCGATTGTAAGTACCTTTCACAGACTCTAGACACTGAGAAAAGTTAACCTCTGAGTACTACCCCAAACCTGCACGATCGTATCAACAACTTTTATGTCCCAAAATCATAAGCCTGGACCGAGCCTAAAGATTTCGAGTCTTCTGTTTTTAAGTTGTTTTTCTGGCCTACAGTAGTTTTTTTTTTTTTGTTACCACATTTTTTACCATATTTGCATTAAGAGCGGTCAAGAGCCTAAGTGGAAAACACATCGATCAAACGCAATGACTAAAATGGAGAGCAAAATGTCCAAACATAGTGAAGATAGTGTCGAATGAACGCCCTCAGGGAGCTCGTTACCATCCACTTTAGACAGGTATTTTAAAAATAGATAACGTAATGTCGAGGAAGTTAACGTTTCCCGGTCTCGCGCAGTCAGTTTAACCACGATATCACTGGCTACGAACCTTATCGAATCAATAGCTTGGAGGTGTTTTTTGTATGCGCATGCTATTTTTTTTAGCGCATCATAAGGTATGGTGGAAATTGATGTTTTGTGGTCTTTCATTTAAAGTATTGCACTTAAGTTATCGAACCATTTGCATCGATCTGGCTAGTTCATACAACTTAAGAAGCAGAGTTTCCCTGCAATCTAAGAATCATCCGGAAATGTCCAACAGGGTCTTGTGTTTCATTGGCGTTCTGTTTAGCGTCTGCCTAAGCTCGTTCTACTGGTGTCCGCTGAATTTACAGGTTTGTTTCATTTCTAGAAGATATGGGAAGTCAAAGTTAGGTTTTTAACCGTATAATGTCCTTATTGAAATTGCTTGTCGTTTTGCTGTAAGCATTTTTTTTTGTTTTGCCATTTAAAGCTTCACATGGAAATATTTCCATGAAACTCTTGTAAAAAATGGAAGAATCAAGATTTTAACCCAGAGATATTGATTTTCTTCGGGCTTCCTATAATTCGTTAATTTACGGCAAAGTCGGTGGATATGGGCGGTCATAAATGCCCGCAAATATCAAGGTTGATTGTAAAGATGCTGTTGTTATATATAAGAAGTTCCCTGCTCTCACACAATACTATTTTTGTGTGTTTTCCATCTAATATCAACCAGAAGTTTCTATTCGCTATTTGGTTCAACACGATCGGAATGCTTCGGAAAGTTGCGCAAATAAATCTGTCAAGCTTTAATAGACGATGCATTTGCTATCTAGGACTATAGACACAACTTATGTCTTAACTTTACGTCTGCAGAGTATTAATTAAGAAGATTGGTCTAATTTCCCCGCTTAAAGAAGGGAGCATTGACCTTAAAACTTACTTATCATTAAATCAAATAGTATTTCTCTATGTTTGTGTTAAAAAGGTGATCTTTAGACCGTCTGAGAGAGAGATAAAAAACGTATTTGTAGAAGATTCTGTTTCCAGTGACCTGGCCATAATTTGCATAGTTTCACTTTCAACAGGTTTAAATTCCTTGCTGTCAACTTTCTCAGAAGCTATATTAAGACTGATTAATCGATAGAGTTTTAACTTTCGTGTCCTGAGCACCATATCCGATTCAGGCTTTTTGACGCTTTCGCAACCACATCTGAGGTCATTCGCTGGTTTTCAACTGAAGGCAAGTGTAAACAAAAGGGTTAAAATATCTAAATCCTTCCTCCCGCATTGAACTAAATTAGTTACAGCATCACAGAGGAGGTAGCCTGGATAACACTATCATTGCATTCGTGAAGGATTTTATGACGACAGCTGTCATGCACCCACCAGACGGTTCTAAGTCCTGAAGTCGCGGCATGCTGAATAAGCGCCCAATTTTTTTTTCTTTAGAAGAGTGCATTCATTTGAGCGTGTTATCTAGTCATGGTCAAAATACAGAGAGCAGTCGACACCTAAAGTAGCAATTTGGTGCATTAAGCTTTCACAAAAGTGATTGAGGACTTAGTTGTCACCAGGAAAAGGGAAGATTCTTTAAGAACAGATTTCTCCGACATTTCTAATGTGCAATTTAACACTTGAGAGGTTAATTTCAGTTTGAATGGATTTTCGTGACCTGGGAGTTAAATTACTGTGACTGAATATTTTATGCATTATTGGCGTTAATTCAACTTAAATTTCATAGTTTTGCAATACCTTTTCCTTACTTTTTCAAGCGTACCTTGTGCTTATTACATTCGTGCAGTTTTATTACGCGCATGCGAAAAAACCCGGCCGGCTTAGTGCGAGTTTAGAAAGCAGTTGAGTTTGTAAGCAGATACACGCGGTTTATTTCTAATAGTATGAATTTGAATGAATTTTCAGGTATCATAGCAGGTATTATGCTTAAAATCAGCCCGTGGTCAAGTCAAAGACGGTCGAAACGCTAACTGGCCAATTTGAACAAAATTTTATTGAAATCACTCACCGGAAATGTATATCATAGTACCATCCAGAATTCCAGTCTAATCGTAAACAACAGCTGTAACGAATAACTTTAATGGCCTCGTTGGCTCAATACTACCCACGAGCTTAAAACCTTGAAAAGGAAAAAGCGAATTGGTAAAGAAAACCTCGATTGGCGCATGCAGGGTTATTTGGAGGCCACCTGATTTTGCTCTCCATGGGAGCTTCACAATTTAGTTCGTCTAAAAAAACAACAGACTTCCCGAAAAAAATATATTATACGCCAGACCAACCAAACAGGTTATAACCTCAATGTTGACCATTGTGAATGGGTCGTTTGTAATGTACAAGATGCGTGACCTAACTTTACCATAATAGGCTTAGTGGGGTCGCATTCCCAGGGGCCGAACTAGGGGTATAAAAATCATTGTTTGTTCAAATACGCAAGCATTAAATCTCAGATTGCCGACATTGTCGCACTTTGCATGCATTTTCTCTGACCGGTAGATTACTCTTGGTAAGTCATACTTCGATTTTCTTTTCGGGTGCAATGCAGTTATATTATATGACAGAGCGAAGGAGTGTTTTTTGAGAAGGTGATAACCTGCTAACTGAAAGATTTTTTCAATCGTTACAGAAACTTCCTTGAAGAAGCGGTTAACATGAACAACACTGCAGAGCAAGACCAAGGCGTCACAGAATCGCCTATTCCCCTGCCTTCCAGCTTCGTGTATCCAGTGGCGACGTGTCATATCTTAATTGTGGCTGTAGCTGTCATTGGCAACATCATGGTTTGCTCGGCTATACTTATCAACAAAAACCTGCGCAAAATGCCCACAAATGTCTTCATTTTCTCCTTGGCGTCATCGGACCTTCTCACAGCGACCCTGGCAATGCCATTTGACATAGAGGGGCTTTTTCTGGGATGGGTTTGGAACCATGGAGAGGCGATATGCAGGGCCTGGATCACGGTCTACCTCATTACCGTTCCGACCTCGATTTTGACTCTCTTGGCCGTGAGTTTGGATCGCTACAAAAGCCTCAGCGATCCTCTCAATCGTTATCGCCGCTTAGGGTTCATGACTCATAAGAGAGCCATCGTTATTAGTCTGATGATCTGGCTTTACAGTATCCTGTTTGCCTTACTCCCTATCATGGGCTGGCGAACATTACGGAAGTTCGTTGAATTCAATGTGTGCTGGTTTCCTTTCCCGCCGGTGTATTCTGCCCTCAGTTCTACCGTGAATTTTATTCTACCGCTGACAATCGCCTGTGGCATTCACCTCAAGATTTACCGCCTGGTATGTAGGCAGCTGAAGAATTTCAACACAAGTCAACGCGCTGAGAACAACGACAGCGCGCCCTCTGAAGGAGAACGGAAAATTTTTTTTAGAAACGTCCGAGCCTTTAAGACGACTACAATGTTTGTGTGCGCTATCTTCCTTTGCTGGGTTCCCTACTCATCTGTCAGCATTGTTGCTGTTTTGTGCGAGTCATGCGCAGCAGCAATCCCGAGTGAAGCCAGGGTTGTTCTTGTAATGATTGGTTATCTGAACTCGGCCTTAAATCCATTTCTGTTCGCTTTCCGGAGCAAGCGATTTAAGGCTGTTTATCCAAATGTCTTCGGGTCTCCTAGACGAGTTGCTCGAGTAATGTAAATCTTCACTGCACCTTTCAATTCTCCATTTATTCCTGAAGTGACCAGAACTACTCAGTCCGTGTTTATTTAGATAAGATCTACTAGTTTGTCTAGACTGAGTAGAAAACAAAGTTCCAATGGTTGCAACAATACTTGAAACTCTCTTTCAATAACAATTTCATTAATCAACACCAATCGATAGAAAAAAAAATTAATCAGGATCTCATTAACCCAAATTAAACTACAATTGCAATTAAGGCTTGAAGATTATATAAAGGTAAGCCAGAGCAAATAGTCATTGTAACAATAAAAAAGAATTGATGATAGTCAACTAGTTCAGTGATCATAACAAAGTCCAATGATTTTTGGAATTTTTTTCCTACGTTAAAATTTCGAAAAATGAGCATTTCGAGTCTTGTTTTTGTTTTGTTGGGAGACAGTCTGACACTAATCCTTCATGTGTGAAAAAACAGGCGAAATCATACATTGTTAAGACTCAATCAGGCCAGCTCCTCAAAAGCATTACTCCTTCTGTATGAATCCAACGCAAAGTATTTCAAGATTGTTTGCAAATTAAAAGCCATGCCGCTTGCGGCAAAATTTGTCAGTTCTAAAACGACTTGCGTTTCTCTAGACCGATTGGGTTTGCGTGCTATGTGCAATAAGATTATCCTTTAACGAACTTTTCCTCGCAATAATTGCAAATTAAGCATTTCGAAACTTGGCACAGATTTCTATTTATTTTGATATTTGTTTGTTTGTTTTGTATATGCAGGGAGGAGTCTGTCATGACGGAGTCTCGATCTCGCGTGTTCCTTTGTTTGTGGTTATTTTTCGGTAAATGCCCTCAACTTGGGTGAGTTCAGTTTTCCTTTCAAACGATTCTTTTGGGGTTTCAAATCTCCGACCAAAAATGCCAGACACTAAAACAGCTCTCATTTCCTAACACTTGTCATTCCTGTTATTTGGAATTACATCATACTTTTTTCCAGAAGTTGCGAGCAATTTAGTTAAACATGATGACAATTCCAGCAATACAATGAATGAATTCCCAACATTCTGGTAACATCTACCAGTTAATTGCAGATTTCTACTTTTCCAAACAATGTTTGGATCATTTTTATTTATCAGAAAAAGCGTTAAGCGTTAACAACTGATTTGTATTGTCTGGATGCGAAAATTCTTTTCCTTCAAGAAATTAATGTTACACTTATTTACAAACTGACTCCGTCAACTATATATAAACCGAACATGAAAGCAATCTTTGCAGTAATACGTAAACCGTTGCGAGACGGAAGCATTCTTTAATTTAATATTCTCGTTTTAATCTACTTATCATAGTTTGTAGAATTAGATTTTATTTTATCCTGACTTGGGTTTAAAAATAAACCGTCCAGGGACAGAGAGTACTTTTTGTACTCTTGTTATAATCTTTTAATTATAATAAGTTGTAGATTGAATTAGATTTTATGTTAACCTGACTTCGGGTTGAATATACACCGTCTAGGACAGAGTATACCTTGGTATTCTTTCCTTAATCTTCTTACAATTATTGTAGAATAAATATTGGAAACCCAGACAACGGTTTAAAAATAAACCTTCGTGAGAGCAGAGAGGGTACACATTAGTGCTCTAGTTTTAATTTAATTATTTCTAGGATAAGACCGAATGCACCTTTGCGTTCTTATTTTAATCTTCTTACAATTATTATTTGGAGAAATACATTTTTTATCAGTTACCTTACTTTAAAACTGTCATCGTCTCCGGATTAAAATAAACCGGTGTATTGCAGAGAATAATCTAACATCCTGCTGGTTTCGCATGATCTAATTATACCGATCATGCCTACATTATGTATGAACTGAATAAAGTTTGAGAACACAAATCCTTGTTGTTGCCTTTTCAACTTAAGCATCCTTTTCTTTCGATCAAATGTGTTGAAAAACGAAAGACATAAAAACAGCACAGTCCTCCATACCTGATGGAAGGACAGAGAGTAAAAACACATTCAGCGAATTCCATATTTTAAATTCAAGCGGAAAATCTGCCTCAACCCTAATATCTTTAAAATGTTGTTACATTTGTCTAGAGAGTAGACACCACACCTATCACACAAAAAATATATCTTCGGTTGCGGTGTTAGAGCTATTTTGGATTTTACAATAACGTTGTGATAGAGAGATAAACCTTTTATTGATACGATTTCTAAGTACCCTGATTTCCTGCTACCACGGTAAAGAAGGAAATTTACTAGTTGATAATAGTAGCACTTCTAACGAAAGGTGCCAATGAAGGTCTGTTCCTCACCCTTGTAGTTTGATTAATAACCTCTAAAACTATTGAAGTGTCTTTCACTCTTCTAAGTTGTTCACCTGGCCTCTAAACTGAATAGAAATTGGCTTCAAAGTCAAACGAACGGGTAACTACACGTTTATCGAATTTCGCAACTACTCACGCTAAATTCCAAGAATTCTGAATTGCTTTTTGATTTATTAGGTCACTTTTTGCTTTTTGCTGCTGGGCTTCATTCAGGTGCCAAATAGAAGGAACAAAGCTCCTGGGAGACAGGTATTTCTAACGAAATTCTCAACGTGAGAGAACAGTGATTTTGAACCGATTTGTCGCCGGCGTAGGATCCCGAGACAATTTAAATTCAGAAAAATTACATGGATAAAACGTTACATGAACCGTATGGCTGTGACTGCGCGAATAAATTCCTTAAAAAAAAAACAATTGTCTAGTCCCAATACAGGGGAAACAAAGTCCATGTTTATCAGTCTCTTCCTTGAAAAACTTGATATATTTGTTGACTAATGGGATGACCATATGCGGCCATTTCAGTTCAGCGTTAGGATCTTCTAAGGACTTTCAAGCAAAAAACTGGTATTCATGTTGACGACTATATATATATATACCTCATTTTTAACGACGTCCTCTCCTTGCACAGTTCTCCATATCTAGGCTATACACTACACTAAGTCCATATGTGACAAGTGTGCTCTATACAATGTTTCGATCAATTATGTGGAAAGCATCTTGTTGGTACATTTCGATACATTGATCCAGACAGATACTAAATGTTGAGTTCGGCGTTCGTTCGACAAGTAAGATGTTATCATTGTTATGATGCTATGTTGTTTAGTTCAAGGTAAAGAGTTTATCTGTCCTGTCATCTTCAAGAACCATTAACCTCTAATGCTTGGTTAGAGAAACCACAACAACGAAATCGGCCCCTTTGCCCTTAGCCGCGAAGATGATTGTAGTGATGTCGTACATTCTAGCCCTTTCTCCATCTTGTTATTATGGCATTGAAGTGTTAGTGTACCTTAGAATGTCACCTTCTTGTTATCTTACAATTAAGATTTCAGGATCATTGTTTTTTTCGTCTTTCCGCGTTACCAATTGGTGCCTTAAAGCCGGCAGATTTTGACACAAAATCAAGTTCGTTTCCGTGCAAATTCACATTTACTAATGTTTCGACAATATTCAGACGCTAGAACATGTTAAAATAGTCTCTGTGTATGCTGAATTACTGAATTAAATAATGCGTTCGTTTTGCTGCATCGTTCTAGCTGTACAAGACAGCACAAGACAGCATAGGGTATTGAATGAAAAAAAAATATGAAAATTTCAGTTTGAACGCGAACGCCACCTTAAACACAAACAGTAAGAAACTGAACCAAACTGTGGGGCCTAAAAAATTTTTGTTTTTTCCCAAACTTTGTTAATGCTGCCGCAACTATTCTGACCACTAATATACCTTAAAGAGGACATTCCCGAGAAGAGTGTTTTGAACCACTATTAATGAAACTCACTTAGATTAGCTTCTCTGAAGGCATATCTATCAGCGGTTCAAAACGTTTTATCACTCCACTGTTTTGATGTAAGCCACGGTGCTCTCAGGGTTCAGATGAAACTTCTGCTTACTATCTTGTTCACAGATGCTTGTTTTTTAGCGGTTAAAATGAGGCAGAGGCTATAAACGACAAAATTTACACTCCTGTTAATACGTGGGGTCTTTTCTGTTGCAACAATAAAAAAACGAAAACGCCCCTATGATACTGATTCATCTATCATTTCAAAATTTGGGCCTGCACTACGCGCTTATACCAACATCCGTTAGGTTTTGGCGATGAAGTTCTCATCAGCTCGTTCACTTCTCATCCTATTAAGAGCGTGAAGTCTGATTTGTCGGCGTAATATCATGCTGTTTTACAGGGCCAATTTCTTTTTTTTTAATATGTCACAGTTTTACAAAAACACCTGATTAAGTTATGCTTTTCCCACTTAGCACAAAATTTGGGTGGATCGTTTGTGCAGTGACTGAGCACGCTTTGTTAATTTAGCAAATGAAGTTATCCGCTTTTTCTCGTGTATCAAGTTTCTGTATCACGGATTTCAGGCTGAAAACTTCAAACGATGAGTACAAGGGTGTATTTAATCTTTTCCTACCAGATTCAATTGAGCTTAATTCGAACGAACTAAGTATTAACTGTGTATAAATAGTCAGCCACAGGTTTGTGGGCTAAGTGCTAATCTGACTAATCTCATTTGTTGGAGCCAGACATAAAGTGAAAAAACGCTTATCAGTCCCCGCATGAAATTTCATACCAAACGAATTTTCTAGAGTTTTAAACCAGTTTCTGAATCCAGCCTTCAGATAGAGGTGAAGACCTAAGCCCGGCTAACTCAGTCGTTCTGACTGAACACCATTATGCACAGCCCTCAAAAAGTTGTTCACTCGCTCACATCCGTTATTTCTAATATACCGCTTGGAAAGAAGACGAACTGTTTCGATATCATAGGAAAAGACCCACACAGAATCAGGGGAAATTTGCTCCGTCTGCGAGGAAATTTGTCATAAACGGAGTTAACCTCAATCGCATTTTAGTTTCCTTTGAGGTGCTTAGTTAAGTATTTTGGAACTGTTCGAATTCCGATTCAACACATAAAAAATTTTGTGGTAAAACTTATTCATAGTGCTATCATTTAAAAATCGTCACAGTTAAGTGACACGTAATAATATGCCTGGCAAACTAGATTAAGTGTAGTAAAAATCAATGATTCCTGCTTGACAATACCTGAACTTCTTAACTTACATGGATTGCCGGAATGAAATCGGCTTTGAAGTAGCTAGGATGCTTACTAGTGACAAAAACAGTATTGTTCCGTTAAACACGTCCACCTGAAGCTTGTCCACGAAGAATAAAAGTTTTTCAACTTAAGAAGTTCGGTCATCATTTCACACCGTGTTTCATCAAACATAATGGAACGCAAAACGAAAAGCTGAAGAAACCACGCGACATGCAGTGGCGCCGAGCGTCTGAACTGTGCTAGAAGGCTTTATCCTTTTGTTTTTTCCGCATATGTTACTCCATATGCCACTGTTAGTGCTGTTTTAGCTCAATATAAGCTATTCTGCCAACGATCGTGAGACGCAGTACTGATATAAAACTAACAAACGGACCCCAAAATACCTTAATTATTGACATGTTCTGGCTTTCTAGGAAGGAGAACCATCCCTAAACATCCTGCAAAGTACAGAAAAGGACTTGCTGAGAGATAAAGAACAGTAACTCTAAGCCAATAGCAAACTGTTCAATAAAACTGTGTAGGCGGACAGGAAAACCAAAAAAGGACATTATTTTGTAACCCCGGATCAGCTTCCATTCCTATGCCTGTTTACTTCGGATCTGCAGTTTATAAGAAACTTAGACGATGAGACTAAAAAAAAACCTGCAGAAACTTTTAGGGAGAGCTAAATCTCGCACGACTCGATATTAGAGGTCATAGAAGAAATACTGAAGCACTTTGAACTTTAAGAGCTAAACACTTCAAAGCTGACAAGAAAATCATGAAGTCTCGAAATAACCACATTATTGACCCAGATCGCACTTGAGTTTTTTTTTGTTTGTTTACGTAAAAAATCTGTCAACAAGAAGCTTAATACAAGTGCGACCCCCAATTTGATAAAACTCGCCAAATTTTTGCGGATCGCCAAATTTTCGCCAATCTTCAAAGGACCCGATGTCCTGCCTCGGAGGCCTCCAAATTTTTACAAAGCAAACAATCATATTTTATCAATTATTTAGCCGTCATGTTGTGCAAGACATGATTGTATAAAATTTCAGTTGGAAAAATACTTTAGTCCGCCAGTCTAGTCACGTGCAAACCGCACCATGTGTTCGTGGTTAATTATTGTTGACACAAGACAAACAAAATCTATGAACTTTATAAATAAAGGCCTGAAAATTTCACTTCTTAGTTACATCTCGGTCAGAAAATCTCAATAAAGTTCAATGAAAAGGGAAAAATATAGTTCAAGGGGAAAATATATCCCTATATACAGTAAATGACGCAGAATAAGGAACATCGTTCGCCTCGATAGCTAGCTGCCACTCTTGGTTGTTCGGAAGGTTGTATAGAAGTTTATATCTTTTGAAGGTTTAACCTTGGCGTGAAACAAAAATGGGGGAAAAGAAATATAAAGCAGGGCAACCCGAGTTTATATAAGCATTTCGCGGAATAACACGATACTAGCAGCATTTCCGGGGATCGGATGCCGTAATCCTGAGCATAAATGGTCGGGTCCTTTGATGGTGTTTCCATCAATTTCGCAATTTCCTGGCTGACTTCCGCTAGAGGATTTACTCAAGGGGCTATGATTAATAACCGGATTTATTGATGCCCTAGATTTCTCAAGTTCAGACACGTGTGGCTCTTTCGTAACGAAAGAGTCGTGATGAACCGCTAGGATGCGACCCAGTAAGTTTTTTTTTCTATTTCTCCTACATTGCTGGTATCTATGTTTTAAAAATATCAATTGTTTTCGTTTCGGGAAGCGGGGTCTTGTTCTCAGGGTAAGGTTCTACATATTTGCATTTGGAAGAAAGCGCGAAATTAATCCTTCCGGGTATTCATTTTGTATTCTGCTCTGGAATTTGGCCTATTTTGGCTTACACCAATGCTTAGAATCTACTGTTGTCACTCTTATTCACTAGTTGACAGCGATTCACCTTTCAAGCGAAACCCAGCTGTGGATAATTGAATGTAAGCTATCTTGGAACACTTGAATTGTACGCAAGAAGGATGCGCTGTACCACATCCAAAATGGACAACTGAGATAGCTAATCGATCGTAAAATCGGGAGCCAATGACACCTTATAATTATGACAACTAAACTTCTTGAAGCACGGGAAAGCGTCCGCGATTAAGTCTTGATTGGTTTTATATTTGCATCTGACTGCTTGAGGAAGGAGGCGCTAAGTCGTCTTTTTCTTTCGCCCCATGAACGAGTATTTCTCGCAAGAAAGAAGGCTCTGTCAAGCCACTTAATCGAGTGAGTCACACCTCAACATCCTCGAAAGATACCGGCATATATATTTAAAATAACATAAAAAAATAAAAGCAAATAAGGTCACACGACCTTCCAATAAAATAGAATTGCCAAATTCAACTCTAACTTTACTTTATTGCTGATATAATACAGGATCAAAGTATACGTAATCGAAACGGTGCCAAACTTTTCGAAAGTCCGATACATGATTACAAATCTTTAGATTTTCTCCAAAGTTTCATTGTTTAGTTTTCCTCTTTCTATTGCGTGGTTTATGCTTCTTCGTCTTTGAATCCACGAGCTGCTGTGAGTAGCGTTTGATTGCGTTTCTAGAGAGAACATCTTCATCTTCACCGCTGTCCTCGTCATCTAAAATTATATATATATGTATACAAAATTTTAATACAAAATACGGTTTTGACAAAACCTAGACCATCACTTTCAAACGAACTTGTCATTCCTGAGAAAACAGAATCATGCGGCAATGATTCTTAAAATAATTTTGAGAAAAGCCTCTACTTCAGATACCAAACTCATTCTCCGTCGCCTTACCACACAATATTTGATACTTCGATAAAGTTAAAAGAAACACTTTCCCAGAAACACAGAGTCAATTCGAACTCAGTGTTTCAAGGGATTTTCTGCCTCGTCGAGAAATGCATTTAAATGAAAATCAGACTTGCAAAAATATTTGCTGACGTAGATAAACAACGACGAGGCAGGAATGAAACCACGAAGAACAAGTGTCAATAGAAAAGACCACGATTAATACCGATTGTAAATGACTAAAACAGATTAGTTTGAAAACATAGAGAAACACAAAAAGAGAAGTAATAAACTTAGACCAAAAAGGAACACGGATGGCTTAGAATGGAGAGGACTGACACGGATTGTAAATGATTGCAAAATATTTAGTTTCGTAACAGAGAGAGACACCAAAGAGATGATTATAAACCAAGAGGGAAAAAGAATGGAGGATATGAACACAGATAGAAAAGGCAAAGTGGATCAATTAGGTTTAACTCTTTAACCCGTATGAGTGACTACCATTTAACTTCTCTATACATTTTAACTAAAGAATCAAACATTAAGGTTATTATGCAGGAAATGACCACCCTCTCAAACATTTCTTGATTTTCAAAAAATTCTCCTACTCAGTACCACAGGAAATGTATAGAGAACAGTAAGGAGAACTTGCAAACTGATGCTAGGGTGTTTAAGGTTAACCGTTATGACACACACCAACCTTTTGTTGGCCTCTTTCATGATTATCAACTTACCGTCATACACAGCCATTCGATCGGACGTGGTGGGTAGCTTGACTCGGGTATTATACTGTGGTAACTTGTTCTCCATTGTCGCGCGGAACTACAAGAACAAAAAAAAAAAAAACGCAGTTAGTTCTTGTTTTTCTTGGTGTCTTAATATCTCCTTTATGAACTGAATTTAACAGAGGAAAAAGGCGAGGCCGAAGATGGAAATAATCGCAAAACTAACTTTTTGTTCACGCAAGTTTTAAAATGAAAAGAAAATATTTTTGCTATTCCAGAGTCATAGTAATGCGTCAAAAGAAATCTAAATTTACCTCAGCATCCTCCATTTCTTTCATGACATCGCTGATATCTTTTCCACCTAAGTCGTCGGTCAGTTTGAGTAGCTTCTGTTCACACGTGCCGAGTAAGTCCAAGATATACTCGTCAGAGGTTGGGGACAACTGAGCCTGCGGTACGTGGCCCTTAGGCTAAAGTGACAATAGCATGTGGTTAAAAAGTTGAATTACTACCTCAGATAAGCTACACTAGCCGAGAGCAACTTACACGAGGTTCCGGATTTGCGGCGAGAAAAGTAAGAAATGTGATTATAATACTGTTACACTGGCTACTGCACAAGATTTTATTTTCAGCAACTTTAACTCATTGAATCTTTTTTCTCGCTTACACTGCAAGCACGGTACAACGTGACAGACTCAAAAAAGGGTACCAAAACCTACCCAATGGGCGAAACGGGCGGGAAAGCAATGACACGTCACAGCTGACAGTGGCGAGAGAGCACGTGATCACTAACGAACATGGCATGTGGAGAACACGCAGAAACAAAAAACAACATCACAAAGGCGCGGGAGATTTTGGAGGGTGCAGTGTAAGGAACAATTCAAGTTGGAAAACTATGGACCCACTGCAAATTGAGTAAAAAAAAAAGTAACTGGGAAGGATAGGGGGAGAAAATTTTAAAAAGAGTTACAATGTATAGCTCACTGCTGGTAATCGTAAAAGACACGGAAGGCTTCTGAAGGGAGAGGTGGACAGACGGGCAGAATGCAAACATGGGGCAAGTACGGAATATTGTAGAACGAACGACAAGCGAAAGCGCGGGAGATTAAAACTGAGCGCTGAAAACTTCCCACTGAGACTTTACAACAATAATATATCAAGTTTTAAATACTAATCATTCTGTACCCCCTGAAAACGTATATAAAGTTTACGCAGACGATTTAAATGACGACATCGACTTTTCTAGGAGCTTACTTGCTTACAGCTTATACCTACCGCTTTCAAGTGTTGCAGCTTATCAGCCAGATGTTCAATTCCAGCTTTAACATTGACAAGAGTCTTATTGGCTCTTTCTTGACGGTCTTTTGCATCGGAGCAGCTGATTAAGTGAAACAAACCACAAAATAAACACGCGTGTACATCTATCATATTTCAAGCGTACATATCGAAGTACGTTTGATTAAATAAACAATAGCAAGAGTAAAAGGGAGTTTTTTCTCACCGTTTCTCCTCATCAGCGAGACGTTGCTGAAATTCCTCCAGCATTCTCTGTCCACTGTGAAAAAAACAAAAACAAAAAAACGATTTTTATCACCTGTCAAGTATCCACCATAGTTCTTAACGGCAAACAACATACATGTATATTTCTGCTGCTGATTACAATAGCTTTGAAATTAACCTCGTAAGCCAATCCTTGGCTCCTTTAGAAGTGATTAAAATGTAATTTCTCCCTATAATATCCATACATTATCCAGCAAACGGGTAATGAGAATATTCAAACTTGTAAAGTAGAATTTGTTGCCTTGATCTAACACCAAACTCTCGCAACTAATTTTACAAGGAAATGTGCAACAGCCAGAGGGGAGAATTACAAATCAGGTATTGAGAGTTACAGGGTTAGGGTTAATGGTCAAAAGGCATGGAATGCACACACTAACCAATCGCTAATGTGCAATCTTGACTCTCAAACTTTTATTGCTGTACTTTTAAGTAACTATAAAGTATTGAAAAACTTTCATTCCATGCACTTTTGACCCCTCCTCCCTGACTCAATAAAATAGCTTACAAGAGATAGAAGACAGGATAGAAGAGGGAATATCATAAATGTGGGGGGAGGGTTTGGTGTTAGTGATAATCATATAGATCCATCCTTCATACTGGCTGACTGTATCTTACCTTGACAACTTAGCTTCTCCAGAGTATTTCATCTCTTCATACTCCATTCTTAGTTTCTCCTTCATAAAGCAGTATAATTTGCCATTAGTTCCAAATTACATTTGTAGTTAAGGATTTGATTAATTTTCCATGTAAGTTATAGCTGCCCCTTTTAGTATTTTAGTATAAAGATGGAGATACACATAAAGTTTTCCAGGGCAATCAAAACGCAAAGTAAAGCAAAACCAAAGTGATCCACATTACACTGAAGCCTTGGTTAGCTCAGGTAGCTGTAGAGTGCCACATTACCATGCAAGAGGTCATTGATTCAAGCTCAAGACTGGCCATACACTCAAGTTCTTAAATAATTTTGTAGAAAGTGCTGCTTTTACCATGACCTTCACAAATGGCTAGAAAATGTTCTTGGTTAAGGATAATCAACTGTTTCTAAGCCCCATCACCCCTTCTGCAACTTCTCTATACTAGTTAGCAGGAGACATTTAAACCCATTTACTGTACTCTTCTTGCAAAAAGTCAGGTATGTAGCTCCCAGTGTTGTGGTGTGGCCTTGTCATTGTTCATGTAGGGCCCCATTTAAAAAAGGCTGAACTAGGTCAGTCTGTGTATCTATCACAAATTGATAATCAATCAATAAACTGAGTCTGTGGTACCTTTTCCTCCTTAAGTCTGACAAGCATCTTTTCATTGTTCAACTTCAGTGTCTCCAAATGCTTTTGAGTGTCACCTTGAGATAAGAAACGCTGCACCACCTCCTTGATGTCAGACACCCCTGTTGTGTCCTTGATCTTGTTCATGGCCTCCTCATAAGTTGTAATCTTACGTTCTTGTTCTTCCCCAGATAGGACTGCTTTTTGTTCTGTTATAAGCAGAATACAAAAACATATACAATTATGTTTCATTTAACTATACATCCTTACATCCTTGTGGCATTACAAAACAATGTATTCTGATTTTCTCTTCTGTATTTGTCTTGGAAAAGGTCATAATTGTGACCTGTGGCTGTAGGCACAAGTCTGACTTACAGATGTGTGCTCAGTTGCACTTGTTATGGTAAGAACCTTGTTGTCACATTGAACTTCACTTAGTTCTGTAAAAAAAACTGGGAACTACGTGTAACCACAAAACTGTACAATGGATTCTTGTTACAAGTTCCTTACAGCTGGCTAAATATGAATTAAGGAATCTGATAGATGAACTGGATGTTAATCCTTTAAACCCCTCTCTGAGCCAATACACCATTTACTGTGAGAAAACTGAGCATTAAATGTTCTTTGCTTCAATTAAATGGAGTGACATACCAGTAAGATCCTCTTGCTGGAGAGAACTTCTCTGTAGCTGTTGAATAATTAGATAATATAGTTAACATTGCACACATCAGAGGTATTCATCCATACTTACAGAACTGTGCAAAATGTACTGTTCTTGCAAAAAAAAGGAATATTGAAATTAAAAAAAAATTAATTATACTCTATCTGATTTAATCACTTACATAACATTCACTTGAATTTGTGTGTGTACAGTTTAATTTGTTATTCTAGAGTCTCAGGGTCCAGTATGAAGCCAGACTTTTGTTGCAATTAGTATCCATAATATTGAAATCAAATTGAGAGAATCTTCAGTGCATTATTTGTCTTGATCAGTAACTGTAATCTCTCATACTCTGCTTACAGTGTAGCTTGTTAAATCATAGTTGAGGCCAAAACCATACATAACTTCATTGGAAAAAAATTTCTATAAAGCTCTGTGCTGCCAAGGTTTGCTCCCACAACCTTGTAAGAACAATCATCATGCCTTACCCTTTTCTCAACTTTTTCAGCATGATCTTTCTTCTCTTCTGCTTGTTTCTTGTACTGAGCCAGTTCCTTCTCCCGCTCCTTTTTCCTCTCAAACACTGACTGCTCTAATTTTGTGAGTTCTGCCTTTGCAGCCTCACGAGCAATCTGGGCATCATGATTCATAGCATTCAGCTCTTCAAGTTCCTCTCTCTGAGCACAAATGGCTTTCTCATGATTATTCAGTTGATTAGGCCAAGTGCGTCGCTCCTCCTTCAGTTGTTCCAGTAAACCCTCGTAGATAGTCTTAATTTTCTTTGCTTCATTGACTTTCAAAATCATTTTGTCAAGACCATTCTCCAAACTCCGCAGTTTCTGAGATGAAGTGAGAAGGAAAAAAAAAAACTATCTTTCAGCAGTCAGTTTCAAGAAAAATAATATAATTAATGGGTTACTGGAATGGAATTTCAGATTTTTTGTATCCTCTCTCTGACCACAAGTCTGTATTATTTCAGATTTTATGGTTCCCAGATTGAACTAGTTGCAGGAAACTCAACAATGGCCAGACACTTATTTATTAATTACTAGATAATTTATTTATTTTTAAGATTGAAGCAATTTGTTTTAGTTTTCAGGATTCCTGATGACACCTTTGTACAAGACCATCAAAGGAATATTACAATCATACCACCATTTAACTCCCAAGATCTGATTGTTAATTCTCCCCTCTAGCAGCTACACATTTCCTTGTATATTAGTTATGAGAACTTGGTGCTAGATCAAGAAAACAGCTTCTACCTGATAAGTTTGAATATTCTCATCACCTGTTTGCTAAATAATGTATGGATATTGTAGGGAGAAGTTTTATGTTAATCACTTCTGGGAGTTAAAGGGCTAAAAAGCAACAACCAGTAAAAGTACAAGTATGCCACCAGATTGTAAACATCCATACCTGTGCCTCAGCTGATTCTCCTGCATCTGTACTAGACACCTCTTCAGCATCTTTAACCAGCTGATTATATTCAGTTTCTAAGGCTTCCAGTTTCTTCTCGCGAGTACTTCTCTGATGTTTACAAGCATTCAGTTTCTTCTCTGCCTCACACACTTGTTGGTCAAGTTTAGTAATGGCAGCCTACAAGAAATATGTAAATAACCATAACAGCTATCAGGATTCATTGAATCATTATAAGATTGTCTAGTAAATAATGTTTCTAGGTGCTGTGTTCTTTACCTTCCCTGACATGCCTCTCATTGCACAGTGTCTTTGAGGGTCTTTTTCTCTGAAAGCATCATCAATCACTTGCTCATCTCCCTGAGGAAAAAAATACCAATTCTTTTAATGCCAACAACAATACTCATGTTTGTGCCTCCTACTTGTTTTACTGATTACTTTAAGCCAATATCTTCTGTTCATTCACCTTATACACGTGAATCACTGAATGAGAATCTGTTTGTAAATCCAGTTCAAACAACTCAATATGGTATTTGTTCTCTTTGTTACACAGGTACCACACTCTGGAATTCATTCTGGACTTCATTACCAATTAATGTTAAACTAATCACTCCCTTTTTTAGATTTTGTCAAAATATAAAGAACTCTATGACTAATGAATTCTATGAAAAGAATGATATGATTAATGGTTATAATAATGTTATTGATTCTTAAATAGTTTGTGTAAATCTAATTAAATTCTTAGTAGTTAGTATGAAAAGTGATACTTTTTATTTAAACTGTTATTAACACAGTATTCTTTTTGTTTGAATTATTTACTTTGGGACACCCTCCGGATTAGTTCTTAGAACCGGCTATTTGGGTGTCCCAAATTCCACACAATTAACATAGCATTTAAATATTCCTTTCTTCCTGTCCTTCTTTATTTCTAAGATATGCTTAGTAACAGCGAATTGTAAATTATCTTGGTTTCTTTTTTCATTTTCTCATTGTTCTGTATTTTTTATATTGATGTTTGTAAGACTACTGTAATAATTATAACCTTTTCTAATACGCTGTATTCGTGTGAGTTTAAATAAAATTAAATTGAATCGAATTGTGTACTCCCAGAAACTTACTTTTAAGCTGCTAAGAGTATGAAAGACAAAGAAAAATCAATTGTGTTGTAATAGTGTTAGGGATTCTTTTATATCTGAAAAGCGTATGCAGATTAACAAAACCACAGCTTGACAGATGGAAAATTCTCAGTAAGATCTGGAATCCTTTTATTATCAACTTCCTAGCCCACACATCATGGTATGAAATACATAATATGAACTACATGATATTCTCTTTTGTAAAATCAGTACTCAAAACAGTAATTTGGTATTATCAACTGAATTGATAACATAGATTGACCACTTTCAAGAATTCAAAAGCAGACATTTTGAGCCTAAGCCCAGTTCGTTCCGACGCTTCAATTCGCTTTCAATTGACAAAGGGCTGATGCTCAAAACGTCAGCTTTGAAACTCTTAACAGTCAGGCCAATTCATGTTATCAACTCAGTTAATAATACCAAATTACCTTGTTATACTCTCCCACTGATGCGGCACCACAGTTTCTTTAGAAACTTACCCCCTTTAATCAGAACTCACCATAAATTGGTCAAATAGGAAAAAGGCAGCCAATGAGATTAGCCCGTTGTTCTGACATTTGAATTCGCTCTGACAAAGGGCTGATGCTCAAAACGTAAGCTTTGAAACTCTTAACAGTCAGGCCAATTAATGTTATCAACTCAGTTGATAATACCGAATTACCTTGTAATACTCTCCCACCAACGCAGCACCACAGTTTCTTTAGAAACTTACCCCCTTAAATTGGTACTCGACATAGATTGGTCAAATAGGAAAAAGGCAGCCAATGAGATTAATATGGTGATTATGTCTATATGTCAAACAAGAAAAGTCTCTGATGCATTTCTCTCAGAAGACTTCCAAAATTCAACCACTACCAATGCAATGGAAAAAAATAACAACAGAATATTTCATTCATGAGCATATACAATTTGCTCTGAAATGGCTACATGGCTATCAGAAGCTATTTGCTTTACGGAAAACTATAAATTTAAGTTTGTGAATTATTATGAGCTAATTTACGATTTCAAAACCACATACCGCTTTCTTCTTTGCCAGTTCGAATCGCAAACGTTTATTTTTCTCCCTTAATTTGCTGATTGTATCTTTGTTCTTCTTCATAGTCCATTGAGAACTTTCGTAGTAAGCTTTCCTGTCTCCGTCTGCACAAAAATGTAAACATGAACGACATTGAGCTGGAGTAAAACAAACTGTCGCTCTCTGGACGATGAAAAGTAACGGTAAGAAACCAAGAGAGAAGCATTCGATTAACTTGAAATCACTGGTGGAAAAGTGCTTAAATCGTAGTGTTCAGTAAGCCAGTTCAAGAAAACGTTGACATTTGTGCAGCTTATACACTAATGAAATTCTTATCAATCAAGTCTTACCAAGGAGAGCAAGCTTCTTTTTAAGCTCTTCAATCTCTTCTGTAGTAGTGATCGCTCCCTCAGACATATTTTCCCCTCTTTAATAAGCCAAAATTCGATATAAACCCGTTTGAAACGGTAAATGTACTAAAAGTACTATCGGTCTGTTTTTCAGCAACAACTTCACCTCCTTTGCATCGTTGTCAAGACAACATACAAAATACAGCGCTTGATCCGGTGAAGAGTATCTGCTAACCAGTTTAAATCGCTGTCTCAGAAATTCTTCAACCAATCAAAAGGCACATTTCATCCGCGGTATTTACAAAATGGCGGCGAGCGCGGTAAAGGAAAATTCAGAAGATTGTGATTTAAACACTTTGAAAGCGAGAAAAGGATCGCTTACTCCCGCAGAAGTAACTGAATTGTCTTCACTGTCATCTCAAGAACCCGAGGAAGTAATACGATGTTTGGAAGGCCGACAAAATATGTAAGCTCTCATCATCTGCTTGTGGCTAATTTTTCTAAGGCTCGCTAGTAGCCGTGTGCGGCTACCGAACAGCTGTTGCATCGATCATGTCGTAAATCTCGCTGCGAAAAAAGATTCATTTTGTTTTGATGCGTTTCCTTGTAGATATGGTCACCGTAACCCAGAAGCAGAGACCCAAATTTACTCTCTGAATACTGTAGACGGTGATGGAGAGTGTAACTTCAAAACAAGAAATATCGCTAGTACTCCAACGCAGCTGACGAACACAACTCCAGGAGCATTCAGGAAACAACCCTTTAGGTGAACTACATGATTATTTCCATAGATTGATGATATTCATGAAAGGAAAGCCTGAAACTGGGTGAAAGTAGTACTGAACAGATATTCCTGATCCGTTTTCGGACAAGTTGTTTTCTCTCCAATCATTGTCCACAGCGGTACGAAATAAGAGACTTAGTAACTACTAGACACTAGGAAAGGCTATGTTCTGTAAGTTTGTGTGGAGTCTTTTGGCTTGATTTCATTGTTTGCTTGCTGTGAGGGTAATATAATAATTATGCAATGTTAACAGTTCAGACTCCTCTGTCTATTTGCAGAAGCAGCTCTAAGTTAAGGCAACCATTTAAGTCACCTGTAAGTAGCTAGGATGCTTTTGTTACCACTTATGATTAAAATCAACATGAACAACTCCTTACTGTACACACCATACCTTAATGCCCAGGTTACTGTGACATTTAATATAGAAATGTATCGAATTTTGTGGAGAATTAAATTTTTTTTACTTTTTTTTGGTGAGAACCTTTTTGATAAGAAAGTTCTGGCCGAGAGTAACCTAAATTGAATAACATACTTAGAATATAACCAGGCTGAGAGTCAGTGAAGAATGTCTTTATTTTGCTATTTTTTTGTGAGAAGTTTAGATAAGATAAAAAAAATGTAACACTTTTTTCTAACAGAACAATTAACTCACAAACTTAGGGGCCTCTTTTAACATTTACAATGTGGTTTTCATATTGCATAATACACTGAAGTACAAGTCAGTATGTAGCTGAACTTAGTCTGGACACATCTGAATTGATTTTTTGAAATACTATACCTTACAACTTTGAGAACATGTGAAGAACATTTTTATGCTCCAAGCACAAGAAAAAAAAGAATGTTTAGCCTCAGCCTCAAAATTATACATTCGTATAAAAAAGATGTACCTTACATGTACTTTTAGATTTATTTAAGGAGTAAAATACATGGGGCAAAAGTGATGATCAATGAGAGTTGCACAAACTCAATAACACCGAGGACCTAGTACCGTATATAGCTAAAATGTTTATCTAAAATCGATCTTTCAGCTTCAAATGAGACGACAGACTACATCTCTTGAAGATGAAGCATCTTTGGTTAAAGAGATTGAAACTTTAAAAGCCAAGTTAGAGATTCTGGACAAAGAGATCAAAGACCTCAGTGAAGAGTAAGTGTACCTGAGTTTGTGGGTAGGATGAAAGAACAATGATTGTGGTGTGTAAAGTACCTTCAAATGCAAGACTCACCATCAATTCTTCTTGAGCTGTGCATAAATCAAATTTTACTTTATTATGCCAAATGAAAATCAACATACTCAATCTGTTTCATCTGTGTGAAAACTGCTTTAGCACCTTACATGAAGTTTTGTCATTGACACACATAAACCCTGAAGAGCAATAAATATCTAATATTTCCCAACAGTATCACCCTTAATCAAACATTAAAGTTGTAACAATTAAGGGAATGATTACAACTTAAGAAGCTCTTAACCCTTTAACTCCCACAAGTGATTAACATAACTTCTCCCCGCAATATCTATACATTATCCAGCAAACAGGTAGTGAGTATACTCAAACATATCAAATAGAAGTTGTTTTCTTGATCTAACACCAAATTCTTGTAACTAATTTAAAAGGAAATATGTAGTAGCTGGAGGGGAGAACTGACTATCAGATTTGGGAGTTAAAGGGTTAATTGTTAAAAAAAAAAAGATTCTCATTGTTGGCACTCTAAGAGATGTATGGAGAATACTATCCATGGAGAATATGCATACTGATGTTAGGGTGCAAAGGGTAAATCTGAACCCTTTCTTAAGGTGATTGCCTATTGAAACTACTTATTCATGTCATATCAGGTACAGTGAAGAAGAGCTTCAGCAGCACATACAGATGCTTCATGAGTACAATGAAATTAAAGATGTGGGGCAACTTCTCCTTGGAAAATTAGGTATAAAGAATTAATCTGAATTTCTTCACATACTGGATGATGAGCACACATGCTCAAGTGCTTTAATTGGCACTACTCCTCAGTTACAAATTGTTTGATGGAGTAAGTAATATCAAGTCTGCAAAGTTCTCTCTTTAAGTTAAGAAAACTAAAACTTTTTTCTTAATTTGTGCTTCCTGATGCTAACAGTTACATGTTTGACCCATTCAGATAACCATATAGACATTGAAGAGGTCATTACCAGTGGTTTTTTTTGTTCTCATTTATTCACAGCTGAAATAGATGGGACAACAACAAGAGCTAAGTATCAGGAATTTGGACTGGATACTGATGACTAGTTGAAAATCAGGTGGCTTAACCACATCACAACAACTTAATATACACAATGTTTACAGCCTCTCTATTTGTCTCATGCTACCTCTTTTACAATTTACATCTATAACACTAATTGCTCCCCTCCCACTCTGTTGCAGTGTTCTTTGTCATGATTTGCCAGATAAGCATTTTAATGGACCAAGGGTACACAGCTTTTTCAGGCAGGAGAGACAACCTGTTTGGGTCCTTAACTTTCCAATAAAAGGCAAACAGATAACACATGACACACAACTTCCACATAGTTATTCAAATATGATTAGAAAGCCTGGATCCATCATTAAATTTGTTTAAAAAAGGTTGCCATTTGAATTTGCTTTTCATTTCTTTCAAAGAGAATAGATATTAGGCCTATTCATAATGAAGAATAAAATTGAATGTACAGTTAGTTCTATTAACCAACTAACACCCATTTGCACTATCATGCTCACACAACAAGGGGTCACACACCTAATAGAGATGGAAAGTTAATTGCAAACTAACTTTGTGAATTAATTTTGTTTTCCAAATGAAAATCTTTCAGCTGTTTTTACTGTGCATTTCAATAACAAAACCCAAATCTGAAGGTCATGTAGGTAAACTTGCATTTTCTTTTCATGCTGCTGCCAATTATTACCACACCAGAAATCTGAGAGCTTAATAACAAAACAAGGATTTAATCCCTCCAATCTATAGTCAGATCATAACCTTCTAAACCTACTGAAACATTTTACATGTTTCCAAGGAGGTCTGCAAAATGATTGATAATCTTATGGCTCAAAAAAAAAAATCTTAAAAGGTAAACCTAAACTTGATAGTTTGAATGGCATTGCAAAGCAAAGTAATTCAGTGTTTACCCTAATCTGGAAGCATTTTTTTTTTTTACAACACAATAGGTTTGTGCAGTCCCCACTCTGGATGGATGGTAAAATGCCGTCCATAGGCCCTGTGTGGCTGTGTGAACATGGAACTTTTGTTTATGGCAGCATCACTTGGTACTTTGTAAACAGGAAGATGATGCCATGTCTGAAACTGCTGCCTAACATGACCTGGTAGCCGCTGCCGAGCTTTCTGGTAATATGACTGTTTGGTAATGTCTGGAGCTCGCTTTGGATTGTATAGCAGCTTACCACGAGATGCAATGGTGCCTTCTCTATGAAACAACAGTAAGGTGGCAGTGAATCTCTAAATTGTATAGGTAATTTGTAGTTAGGATTATTAATTGACTATATATCCTGATAGTTACAGAGCAAACAGTGAAGTTAGTTTTTAAAATACTGTACATAAAGGTCTGTTTAAAATTTATTTGCACGCAGCCTTACCTAGCCAGTGCTTCAAGAGCTTCCTCAATTCTTCCTCCATCATAGTTGCCCTCTGTGTGGTCATGATTTATTTTAAGGCCCAGTGAGTCCATCTTGTCTGCCTTAACTCCAGACAAAGTACTGAAGAATTTCAAGGCCAGTTCACGTTCTGTCAATCAAATAAAAAACCCACTCAATCTATCTGCACGAAAGTTCATATTTTCATGCTCTGCAGATTGTTTGGTGCAGAAGCTGGTTTATGAGAAACAAACTGTTGACTGAGACATTTTGCACTATTTTTTTGGCACAAAGTGTTCTCTTGTTTGCACTAAGGTCAAAACAAAATGTGATAAAGCCTTAGTGAAACACTAAGGAAAAGTATGAATTAAAATGTATCTCACAATACATGTAAATCATATATTGACCACAATGGTTGAGATGAAAAGTGATGAGTTTATCTGCAAAGAGTATCTGCAATTAAAGTCACAACAGAAAAAGACGTATAAAAAATTCTGAGATTTTTCAAGGCGGTGAAAAATACAAAGCGTGCTATGCCTCAGTTTTTAATTTGTCTAAGATTATCTTTATAAAGTAATTGCATGCATTTTCTCATTCAAATAAACCTTTGTCAGTGGCTGTTTTCAACCATTTATCCACTGCCTCCAGTGACTGGGGATGAATTGTCTTCTTGATTGACTGCAAAGAAAGCAATATGGTTAAAAACATAAAAAAAAGTAAAACAAGGAGCCAGGAAACATCAGCAATATACAAATAATTAAGCTAATGCACAAGAAATATAATAAAACTGCATCTGCACAATGTTTATGTTCCTTCACAATATGTCTTCAGTTGATATTTGTTTTAAAACATTAGATTGGCTGAAAAAATGAAACATGGTTTGTTTCAATCTTCACTCTGTAATAAACTAAGAGTATTGCTTGTCGCCCTTTGGATGGCCAGCAGTGTAGTCATGTCATTCTCTAAACTGTGGGCAAATGTTTGCCAAATTGACCAAGGCTCTACTTTACCTTTTCAATGGCCATGTTCTTTGCCTTTTCCAGTTCTTGTGGAAGATTCTTGTCTAGAAAAATGTGTAATCAATTTAACATAATAATAGATACACATCACATTACAAGTTGTGGAAACTGAAAAAGTGTACTTGATAAAAAACTTGGCACAGAACTGCCTACGATATATATGTACCTTGGCTCACAGGCTCTTGAGAAGATTTTCCCATTGCTGGCAGTGAAGTCTGTATTGAATAAGAAAGAAGTGTTGACTGAAATCTGCTCAAAGAGATTACTACAGAGTTGTAGTTGAGCTTGGGTGAAAAGAGATATTGTTTTTCATAGATACCTGTTGCTTTTACTGATATTTGCTGACTTATAAATAAAAGTTCCAAAAGTGATTTCACAAATAGGAGCTACATGTAACTCTTAAAATTCCAAGTTAACCAAACCAACTAGAGTAACCTTAAAGTTGAAATTTACATGCCACATACATGTAACATCTGTTGAGAGGCAAGTATCTGGTATCATCATGTACATGTAACATCTGTTTAGAGGCAAGTATCTGGTATTGTTTAAATTACAGTTACAATGTATTTGCCCACTGTATATCATTTACAAGTTGGGTGCTTTAATCCCTAACAGGTTAATTTAGTATTAACAAATGGGTTGATAACATAAATTTGCCTCCTTTGAAACCCTTTATGATGATCAATTTACATTATCATCTCAGTTAATAATACTAAATTACCCTGTTATACTCTCCCACTGATGCAGCACCACAGGTTCTTTAAAAACTTACCCCCTTTTTTCATTTGCTTTTATCCCTGCAGAGTTTCTTATATTAGTAAGATCTTAGTCTCAGAGCAAAGTTGCCAATTATCAATAATTTCTTAAGTACATACATTTGTGTTGAGTCTCTTTGCCCCTCTTGAATGGTTTTCTTGCCCACAACAGGCACCCTCCCCTCCCCTTCACTATCATCCCTTCCTCTGCACTATTTCAGGTTTAGTAAACATTTCAAAGGTTAAGAGTGTAAATTCCTTTTATGTACCTGGACTGCGAGGAAAGTGTCTTGTCAAATTTCACAACACTATGACCCCACCAGAGCTCAAACCCACTCCTATGATCATGATTATTAGTGCAGTAAGGTAACCACCACACTACTCTATTTCTCTTGACAACGGTCAATAGTTATAGGCTTCATAGTTCCCCTGGCTACCAGGTTTGACAATAGTTATCTACAGCTTTTTGGTGACAAATTACTGAGTGCCACTTACAGGAGCTGCTGGTGTGAGTTGCCTTTGCAAGGGACTTCTTCTCAAGCAGTTAGCTTCAGACTGCAGCCTTGGCACTATGTATTGCATAAAAAAAAAATTAGAAATAGCTTGTCTTCCCATGGCAACACTATTTTGTTTATATTTCTATCTCTATTATACATGTTCAATTACAAATGCATTAACAGGATATAAACATAATATTGCTGTACAATTGAATTCTCCAATTTATGCTTTTAAAGATAAAGCACGTTATGTAACGTGAAAGTTCTACATTTGTATAAAATAGACATAAAGATTTGTTCATTTGTCAACACTGTTAATATATAAAAAGATCAGCAAAAGAAAAACTTTCAAGACTTCTGAAAAGTGTTTCAAGTAAAGTGCCCCAAAGAAAATTCGAGGAAGCATTGCACAGTGATTTTTAAAGAAGATTGTTAACCAAAGAAATTCAAGAATTGCTTTGTACTTTTTATGATTTTTGGTCACTTCAAGAGTTGTAAAATGTTGTCAAATTACACTCACATCCTGCTGTTTCCTATAGGTTTTTAAATTCTAGTTATTTAACCCTTAGAGTGACCAGCGTCTAATTTCTCCTCACAATATCACCTGTTAAGGAGGCTTCAGAGGGTTTTTGCTCAATGTTGTGTGCCCCAGTGTAATGTTTTTCTAAAAAAATTTTGTGATTTTGCTTTTCAAGGTCACTAAAGCCATCAAAAGGCAATGAGCAAGGTTTGGACTACCTTTGCTGTAGTAAAAATTATCAAAATTTTTTTCATTATTAGGCTAAGGCTCCACAAAGGGAGGCCCTTGCCAGCAATAATTTGTCTTTGCCTTTGATTTTCTTAAATTTGTTTTGGTGAAATCTCTCAAAATTTTTACAATTTGTGAAAATTGTCCTGCTGATAATTTAAAAGCCCAAAAAATAGGGGTTACAAATGCAGTTTCCTTGCTATTTGCAGTTTTGTGTTTTCTTCCTCCATCTCAAATTTGGTCTTATGACTTTTTTCAGTAGGCACTAGGAAGGGCACAAATATGTTTAATGGTCCAGCAAATCTTAGGAAACTCCACAGAAGGAGACGCGATAAATCTTACTGGAAAGTTCCCTTTTTCTTTGTCCCAAAGCATTATGTAATGGAATAGAACTTTGCCAAGATTGGTATCTAAGCATGCATAGAATTTCGAATCTGTTGCCTTTTGGCAATCTTTCCCACAGTGTTTACCTTTTGGCTGACCCTTTTTCAGGTGTAGAAGGCCTAAGAATATTATGGGTGTGGTTGCTGGAAACCCTATATTCCATCACATAAAAACTGTATTGTGTTAAACTGTTTTTAACACGCCTTTTCAGATAACAATCTTGTGATTGTACTGATCCAACTTGTTTGTTTTGCATGTTGACACTTTTTAAAGCTCATGCTATGTATGCACCCAGATCTTGTGTGGCCACAAAACCCCATGGAGCCCCCTTAATCACACATGAACTTCATGACTAGCAACTAAAGAAGCTTTTGATTGGTGAACAAATTCTCCTTGTCAGCACCTTAGGAAATGTATTGGGAACTGTATGGAGAATATACATAATAATGTCAAGGTGTCAAGGGTTAACAGTACTTTTAAGTTGTACTTACAATCAGCCTTTCCTCTGGAGAGTGGTTGAAGTTGTTTACTGCCATGGGACTGTTCACTTAGTACAGACATTCGGGACCCTAACTTCTGTCTCTGCCCATCAAATCCACCTTTTTTTAATAAAAAAAGTAATTCAAAATCCATATTTTTTGGATAATTTTACATAGCAACTGAGCTAGAGGGCTGTACAGGGAAATTGGCCAGGGGCCATGGTGGTATAGACCAAGGGACAATATTTCCCAGAACAGCTTTATCAAGTGAGGTTAGTAACAAGCAGCTTATTATAAGGCTCTTGTTTTTCACACACAACTTGTTTATTTTGAATTTGTTGGCTTTTGAGACCAAAAATCCACATCTCATGAACATTTCTGTGGAAATGGTCCACATGGCAAAATACGCACCAAGTGAGAAACAATCAGAATGCTCAGATTTACTTTTAGACTACCGTGCCATATAATAATAATAAACATGAAGCATCTAAAAGAAAAACTGACCTCATGCTCATTTGTCACATAAAAATTTACTTTCACAGCCATAAGTATCATTTCTCAGAAGAACATCTAAATGCAAAAAAATCATGCCCAAACACTCTCCACCCCTCCAAAAAAAACCAAGATAGAAAATAATCTGTCCATGTGACAAAGTTTTTCAACTTCAACATGATCTTACCTGCTGATGGAGGGGGCTGCTCGAGTTTACGCTGTTGAATCAGTCGTGATGGCACACGCCATGCCATAAAACTCTAAAAAAGTAATTGTTATATGGGGTGATTACATGTGGAGATTGTGGAACCTTTTAGAATGTGAGGAAGCTAATTGTATACCAAGTCATATACATATATCATATACATATGTTACATTTTAACAGGCAGAGACTGCAACTGCAGTCTCTGCCTGTTAAAATGTAACATATTGGCCTTGCTAGCTGCCAGAGAGCTAAAGAGGTGTTGTACTTATCTTTTATTAAAAAAGCCTCTCCTACAGTGGATTTCGCACCAGAATAAACCTATTAATTATTCATAGCGAATTCACCCAATAATACCATCTTGATAAATTAAGATCATCAAGGATAGGGAATTTTTTTCTAGCACATTTCGCAGAAATTTTTTTATATCCAATTCTTCTAGAAAGACTTAAATCAAGAGTTTTCATTTTTTGGTAAATTACCCAGAGTCGTGAAACAACTACGTATCATAAGATTAGCAACACTGTGAAATTTCATACAATTTTAACGAGTAAGATGATTTCATAGAGTCACACGAAAATGTAGCAAACAGATCATGAGCATGTAGCTGTTAATTTAGAATGAATGAAAAGAGAAACCGAAAGCAAAAACTGAGAGACCTTAAAGCACTCGTAATTTGACTCCTTTCTTAGTTGACCTCAACGTAGTGACCCGTGAATTTCTACTGTAAACAAATGAAGATGAGCTGCGTTTTCGCCGAATACAAGAATATTGTGCGGCGTGGGGCTAAAAGCAGATCACGCACCCAGATTTTCTTGCACGAAAATTAAGTTACGAGCGATTTAACAACCTACCGGTGCAGAAATATTACTCGCTGCTGAGCCACTTCTTTGACTTCCATGCTTCAGATGAGGAGCTTTATCAGTGAGGTCCGTAGAATGATACGGAGTTCCTGGCGGGAACACTCGCGACGATTCTTGTTTGTACTTTATTTTAATCGAGCGTAAGAACCCAGCTGGCAGGCTGTCTGTTCTGGAGTCTCCAATTAAATCTATAAGATCCATAGCACCAACTATTCAAGTTTAGTTTACAACTCTGTGTACCATTTAGACTCCATATTGTCGTTCGGCGAGACCCTTGACAACGGGCCTCGCTTTCGTTCCCTAATACGAAACTTGGACTGGACTTTGTAATCGTAGGACAAAAGAAAAAGCCGAGACATATCTTTGCAACGTTTACGCCAGCTACTATTTCTACCACCTCTGCTTTTATCATAAGAATAGTTTTCCTATTACTATTATCGGTTAGTATTATCATTATACCATGGAAAAATGCACTAAACGAGATTTCTTGTTGATATAGATGCAAAAATTTGACTGTTTTTTCCTCTTAGCTAGTCGTGTTTATCTCGTGTTATAGCTCACTGATTCGGCCGCTTATCTTTGCCTTGTCGGCGGAGAAGTTAGGCTTTTTCCCTCAACAAATTTCTTCGACTTGTGAGTAATCAAACATTTTTACTCTTTCTCTGTGAGGTATTGGTTTAAAGCGGAAAAAATTGCACTAATGCTAACAGTCTTGTGATCCTCCCCTTCTTTCTTGCAAACTGTTGCGTGAATCTCCTAGAGAATTTTTTCAGGGCTTCCGGTTCATACTCTTCAATAGCCGTACCTTCGTTTGCGACCACCTCTCGTTAGCGACTTCTTTTCCAAGATACCAAAAGTTTCCGAGTCAAATCACTGTAAGTGGAACCTCTCGTAAAAGTGGCCGCCTCTCGTGAGCGACCGCCTCTCATAAGAGGCGCTTGCAATTTTTAATTGTTTTTTAACCTCCCGTAGGCGACCACTCGATAGACAATCGGCTTTATCTCTCACTAGAGGAAACTGAAAATTGTTTCAACATATGTCGTAAAATTGGAGCTACGGCATGTTTCTCCCGAGATACAAAACAATCACCATAGATTTTAGAATTTTTTCCCTTGTAAGCCGCTTAAACTCATTACTATAAACCTGTAGGTTTCAATAAGCGCAGACGAGAGGGTCAGGTCACCATATGCAAATTACCCCATAGAATATAGACTCCCTGTGGTCTGACCACCCTGACATTTAGGGTGGTCTCTTACGGGAAGTTCAAGTGTACTAACGTTACAGCTTTAATTGGAAGCTCAAGACTTCCAGACTTTTCGCCAGTTGTTTTTGCTTTGTTACCTGTTTTTTTCTTGGCGATCTCCCTGAAAACTCTGAATTAATCGTCCAACTTTCTCTTGACCCTGACCTTTCAGCTATTTTAGTTGTGCCTTCGCGACTCTCCTTTCAACCAAGTTAATTTCAAGCCTCTGTACTCATTTTCAATTTGTAATCCCTCAGTTTGAACTTTTTGCCCTCAATTTCAACTTTTTGCACCCAATTTCAACTTTCTGCGCTGTTTGGGATTAATGGACGTTTTCTCGGCCAATGAAAATAGTGAAATTTTTCCAAGTATGTTATTGGGTCTGAAATCATACGCTCGATTTCGAAATCGAACTAGTCCCAAATGAAATCTTAGGAATGATTTCAAACCAAAATTACTCTCAACTCTGTTCAATTACCACTTCATTATATCCACTTTTGAATCGCAAAATACAATCACCTAAACACAGGATTTTAGTTAGTGCGAATATTTCATAGATCTATTACTGAGCCGATTTGTGAAAAAGGTGGAACCGGAAAGAGAAATAGGAAAGTTTTTTTGCCACGCGATGGCTTCTTTGTCTTTCATTTTCTTGCAACTTGATTGGTTACTTAAACAAGCCTTGAAATCTGATTGGCTCTGATTAGCACTACAGCACGGGCCACGAATGCTAGCCGACAATCTGCTTGTGCCGTAGCGCCATTCAGAGAGCCTTCTCGTAAGTAAACTCACTGACGATAAAAAGTTAAATCAATTTGCGTCGTTTGGAGTAAGGAGAAGGACACAATCTATGAGTTCAAGCTGTTTTGTGCTTAGTTCCACAACAAATGAAAACACTATGGGTAGGAATGAACTAAGAGACCACCAAGACAGTTCTCTGCTCTACTCTATCACACAGACAGCTTATTTTCTAGCTCAAATGTTTACGCGAAGCGCATTTCCTGGGTTAGTGATTCTGTGCACTTAGTATACGATAGTAGAAGGCAAATCATCTTCTGCTATCCTATACTGTTTAGGAACCTCTTACTTAATTCTCACCTGAAGGCGCGATGTGCACAACTCTTGCTTAGTCAATGTTGATATTTCCAGCCGACGATTTAACTAAAGTTCGTCATGGAGTATTTTGAAGAAAGACGAAAGAAGGAAAGCCAGAGACATCAGAGAGACGACCATTTTATCGTCTTTCCCTACGCACCTATTGTTTAACTGGTTGAAGTTTGTGAGACCTCAGTGCGGCGTTTGGTTTGTCAGTGAAACCTTGGTTATGCAACAGAACAACTCAGAACAACAGTGAGCGTTCAGCTGCTGCTTTCGTCAGTTGAACGAGACTGGTCTTGAATTCTTTGCCAATTCTATAGCCTGTTCCCCTGATAGTCCTACTGGTGAAGTTAGCAGTTTATGTTGTTTGGTCTTTTCTTGCCTGGTTTCAATATAAGGATCACAAGCAGATCACAAGCATTGCATTTGTTGTTTCTCGGAGTCCAAAGTACAAGGTTCACACTAAAGATCTTTATCTCATAAAGATGTTGACATCTGAGAATTTTTTTTGCAGCATTTTTGTGAAGAGTTAACTCTGTGGTTGTATTTTGATTTTCCGGGAAGCTGATCATTTGTCTCTCTTATTCTGTGTTGTCTTTATTCCGGCATTTCTTCCAAAAAGTTCTCAATACGAGAACTAGATACGAGAACGTGCAATTAAAAAATGATTTTGCCTTACCTGTTGTTGGTGTTGCGCCGGTAGAAAGTATTTTGGACAAAAGAGAGCTTCTCGTAATTATTGTAACCAGCATTTTACCGATAACAATGGTTCGGTGCAACAGCCATACTTCTTACTTTCAAGTGGAACGCTCATTTTTGTTTCTAAATGCACTGAAATCTCTCAAATCAAAGGCCGGTGGATCCAGCGGAGCTTTCAGAAAACACTTAAGTTAGTCTCGGTTTCAACAGACAAGAGTCGCCAAAGCATGGGGGAATAATTCTTGGGTAAGGAAGAAATGGGGAAAGTAAAGACGATTTATGACCGTTTTATGACTTCAAATATTCCAGTTACACAAATTGAAACTTCCCGTGCATGGAATCTTCGAAAATCGTATTATATTGTCAACCGTTTCCGGCTGAATTTTTGAGAGGTTAAAATGAAGGAGTACTCCATGGAACCCTCTATAGCTGGACAGAACACACTTGTATGAGATGAACTTACAAGTAAAAGAATAATCAAGAGAGCTCACTAGTACATGAAGGGACTGAGAAAACAACCTTGTGCTTGTTGTCAGCGAAGCTCTTGGATGTGATTTGTGTCAGCTGTGCACATTTTACATGTCTTTTTTTTCTCTTTCGTTTCGCGCCATAATTTTTTTCTCTAGACTGTGGACCAAGATGGCAACGATCTGTCCCACTCGGAAAATGATATTCGGTTTCCATTATCAAGTACTGGTCGCTTGCCAATTGCATTCATTGGTCGAATGGTGGCAACACGACTTTCATATCATAATGGTCCACCATTACTGACGTTTCTAATTTCCGTGCACCAAGAAAACATATTTGGGAAGGATTAAGAGGGCGGGGTTGCCATTTGGAATGGCTAAACCACAAACTTTGATCAGTACCAGCGCCTGCCTGGGCTTTTAGCCAACAGATCAAAATGATACATCTTATGAATTCCGACACGAAAGGATTTCTGAACGTCAATTGGCAAAAGTCCATGACTTATTTGCCATGATTACGGCTGTTTTGTACGTTATTAGTTGAGAAAAGAGATATGATAATAGTAGTGATGTAATTCAAGTGAAAGTGGCAATGGCATCTAACCGAGACTTGTCTGGTGTGTGGCAAATCTGGGTATTTCGAGCTTACCTTAAACTAATATAGATCACCTTAGAAATTTATAGGAATAACAACTAAGTGGCATTGTCATGTTAAGTTCGACGAATTGGGAAAATTTGAAGGTTCCGTGCAATGCTCACAAGAAAGACGCTGCACGTTATCATAGCGTTACATGGACTGTGAGGTTTCACTCAGAACCCTGGTCAACCTGTCAATGAATGGTTTGTCACCGCAGGATCCACAACTGTTATAGCCTAGTTTGTCAGAAAGATCGTTTTAAAGGATGTGACTCGTGCAGGGGCACGTGCCAGTGCAATGGTCGAAGTTCGTTTCAGGTAGTAGAAGAAATACGTACAACTTGTACTATTTTTAAAAATCCTTTGCCGGCATCAGTTTCAAATGACACCAGGAGGCTATTCAAGGTCATTGTTCAGATTGCGAAAAGCGAATCAAAAGTGTTTTTCTTCATCTGGGTACTTTCATTAACTGTCACTTGGCTTGGTATATTACAGTACTCCAGACTCCAAACAAGTTACTTCTTCTTACTTCAAAGGATCTACAAGGAGTCACTTGTCACCAATCTAGGTTTATTTCTTCCGCTGGTAAGTAAGTCTTTCTCGTATTTTTCAAAATCCAGTCGGAATCAAAGTTTAATTTTTTGCATTAGTGCCGGAAGAAGATTTTAAAGTGAATTGCTAAATTGTACTTAATGTAGTTAATCTGCGTAACCGACCTGCTGTAACTTCACCGTTCAGTGCAAGAATAATAGCTCTTTTTCTATAAGATTTTTCTCCAATTCTTAGTGTTATTCATTAGCATATTGGATACAGTATATGAATTGACAGATCTACCGGCGATATCGCGTAACGAAACTGTAATTATTAATGAAACTGTGTCGGCGGTTAGTTTAGATAAGTTGTGAGCCAGTACTGTTAGTATTAGTTAAAATCAGGTCGGCAAGATTTTGTTTTAAGTTACAAATTAAGAACACTGAATGTCTCTACGAACGTTTTAGTTGCGAAAAGGTCTCATCCACCGTTGTGAACCTTCAGAGTCACATTTTTTTAAAGGAAATTTTAGACGATTTTCAGTTAGGCAAAAGTAGGCCATGATATCCGTATGGCCATTGTCTGCAGCCAGGT